GCTTTCGGCAAGTTGTAATCACTGATCACAGATCACCACCACAAATATAATCATGAAAAAGTCTGAAATATTTCAAGAATGACCAAAACATGAAATGTGACAGAGACACAAAGTAAAATGGCGCCGATAGACTTGCCCCATGCACAGTTGCCACAAAACTTTGACTTGTAAAGAACACAGTATCTACGAAGGGTAATAAAGTGAAAGGCAATAAAATAAGGCATGCCTATAATCTGGATTAAAATTATATATATTATGTAAAGTGATTTGGTTAAGGTAACCTTATATATCTTACTTTACATGAATTGCCAATTTAAGTATTAACATGAAATAAGATGGATAATAAAAGAAAACCACACTGATATTAATGTTTTCTTTGATGATTCTCAAAGGCTCTTCATAATCTTCAAGGGCCCTCAGGGACTTGGGGAGAGACTAGGAGAGGGTCACATTATAAACACAAATTCCTTTTAGGACACTACAAATGTATAAAATAGCAGAATGGGCTCCATTTCAACAAACTCTATTAACTCCCAGGAGGGTTCTTTCCATCCCTAAGTTCCTCTAAAGAGCCCCCAATCCCAGAAATTAGCTAACCGAAAACTAGAATTGAAATTGATTGGCAAACTGTATACACGTCAGGTGCTAGCAGTCCTACCCTACTCTTTCCCTCCCCTGTCCTGTCTGCTCTGCCTTTTCCTCCCGTATATTCTGTCATGTGGGAAAAATACAACATAGGTCTGTACTTGTTAGCACCCATTCCCCAACGCTCACTCATTGAAGTCGACTTCAGCTCTTGCTCTCGACATTTTACTCTTGGGAGTAAATACTCGTGCTCTCCCATAGTGCCAGCATCCAGCATCACTGACAAGGCCCCTTGACAATCCTAACACTGAAACTTGCCTGGGTTTCTTCTGGCTCCTGTTGTAATAGGAAAATCTTGGTGTTTCTCAAGGATATTGCTCTTAACCTTCTCCTAGTGATGAGAAGCAAAGGTTTGGGGGTCAAACAACCCTTAGTTCAAACCCAAGCCTCGCCACTCACCAGCGGTGTGCCCTTAAACAAGCTAATCTCTCACCCTTCAGCTTTCTCCCATGGTGTAAAGGGACAATATATGTAATAAGAGTTCTGTATATATACAAGGATACTATTACATATGCATGCAATAGGGCACTTTATATGTTTTACTTTATATATTTAAGTATCTGTATCTATTTTATCTATTTTAAGTAACTGTATCTATTTTACATACACACATGTAAACACTAGGGTTACAGGAGGTTAAGTACCCCATGTAGTAGACCGAAAGCATATAGCACAGTGAGCACACTCTCCTATGCCAATATCATGCCTTTTTATCTTATCTTCTACCTCCTCCCACTAAATTCTCTCACAAATTTGAGCCCCACATCTATTTGTTAGACATACAGACAGCTAAAATTCAGCACGTTAAAAACTGAACTCTTGCCCCAAACCCATTTTTTTCCCTATTTTTATTAATGACCCTAATATTCTCCCAGGTCTGGGTCCTCATTTGTGACCTACTGACCATCATTCCTAACACATTGCTTTGAGATGGCCCACCGATCCAGTCCCTGGACTGTGTCCACCGAGCCTTGGGAGATGAAGCCTGCTCCCCTTGAACTCCCACTCTCACTACCATGTCCTCAGCTACGTGACCTCTTACCTGGTCTGTTATTCTTCCACCTTCTGTTTGCTAACCTGATGCCAGATTAAACTTCCTGAAGCAGTTTACCTAAAAACCATGAGGCCCTGGTTATCCAAATGAAATCCAAAAGTCCTAGGGTGGCATTCCCAACCTCCTTACACCTGGCCCAAATCTCTTTCCAACCACATCTCATGCCCCTCACAATTGTTCCAACAGAAGCTGCATTCCCAGACGCACACATATTCTCAGGGCTTCTCTAATTACATGACCTCCCCATACCTGAAATGTCCTCTTAAAACATCTCCACCTGCTCAAACTCCATTCTAAAACCTATTCAAACCACCTAGTCAGGAAACGTTCTAGAATCCTCACAGTCGGACATAAATTCTCCTCTGAAGTTTCAGCAGTTTTCTCTGCATCTCTCTGAGAGCGCTCTTCTCCACTGTATCTTGCAATTACTGGTGGACAGATCCTTCCCCTGCCAGACTCTTCCCCCAAATCTCACATCACGCCTGACTCCAAGCAGGCGCTCACCACAAACACACTGCATTAATCCATAAGAATTATACTTTGTCAAGAACAAAACTTATGGGGTGCCTGAGTGGCTCAGTTGGTTAAGCGTCTGCCTTCAGCTCAGGTCATGATCCCAGGATCCTGGGATCAAGTCCCACGTCGGGCTCCCTGCTCGGTGGGAAGCCTGCTTCTCCCTCTCCCTCTGCCCCACCCTCTCCCTGCCATACTCAGGCTCTCCCTCTCTCTCTCAAATAAATAAGTAAAATCTTTAAGAAAGAAAACTTATGTAAAACTGATAAATTATAAGGCACAATCCCAACTTGAAAATCTGTGGGATTTTGCAGTACCCTTTTCCACCTGGGAAATGCAATTTTCTGGCTTGCACGGGAAGAAAGACCTTGATAATATTTTTGGCCCGTAAACGCTTCTTTTAAAACAACATCTTAATGTATTGTGTGGGAATGAGGCCAAAACATGTGGATTAAGTTTCCTATAGAGTACATATGGGTTTTATGAAAACAGCAAAAGGCTAGGATAAAATGTGATCTCCGAGGCAGATTAACTTCGGTCTTTTTCTAACTCTAAAATTAATCCAGAGCTTTCTTGCTTTAATTATATGCTGAAAGTTTCCTCTTTTGCTTTAGTGACGTTCCTGGTCAGAGTCAACATTTTTCACATTCCTAGGATGAAAAAATAAGTAACTGAGGAAAAGAAAAGGCATTCCTTCTATTGTCACTTTCCCCTCCGTCGGTTCTCCTTCACAGACACTACGTAGGCCTCTTCATTCCCTCTCTCATTGCGCCTATTTGCCCCCCTATCTATTATAACTCTTTCCTCCCCCGGAAGACTCTTCTTTTTAACCCTCTATCCTCCTTCCTCTCTCTTTCTCATTTTGTTCTCGAACATAGTTACTAAGAGGAACCACATCCCTCCCTCACCACATTCAAGTCAAACACAAGATCTTTGGGTGGTAAACGTGGATCAGTTGCCAAGGAAACCTCAGGCTCCTATGGGTACATGCGTCCACGTGAAGTTTTCTGCACAACCACCCTTGTCAGCGGAAATATCCTTCCTCATAGCAGAGCCTAGACTCTGAAGTGAAGTCCAGCTGAGCAGGAACAAAGAGCCGGGAGTGAAAGTGGACATGGATGAAATCGGAGAGAAAAGAAGAGGAAATAGGGAAATTAAGTTCTCAGAAATATGAACTAATCCAAGCTAACAGCTCTCCACCCCCACCCTGTGCTTCCAAACTAAACCCACGCACTCAGTGAAGAATCTGAAACTCAGTATCCCACCTGCCCCCTTCTTAATAGGAAGTCAGTGCTTCAATTCACATTGGCTACGCCTTCACAGCATTATCTAGCGTAGCCACAGAAAGGCAGAGGGGAAAAGTGAAAGCCCTCTCCTTAGCTCTATGGAGCTTAATCTCTGAGAGTGGGTCCAGTGTCATCTGCCATCACTATTATAATTGGTTCACCAATGCCACTTGGAAATTCCTGTAAGATTTGTTAACAAGGTGAAGGCGGCACTATCTACTTCCCAAGCAGAAAAATTGTGAACTTATCTTCTCAGCTTCAAATAAGAAAATAGGAAGCTGCAGGATTCAATGGAGATCCTTTTATCTTGAGAGCAAGACCCAGAGCCAGTATTTTCCCCATAAACTGAGTAAAAGTTCCCTAATTGGGACTTAATCTAATGAGAGCTGTACCATTAAACATTGTTTCAAAGCTTCTGGGTCTAATTAATTATTTCTTTTTCTTTTTAAAGATTTTTTTTTATTTATTTGAGAAAGAGAGCGAGTGAGCGGGGGAGAGGCAGAGGGAGAGAATCTCAAGGAGACTGCACTCTGAGTACAGAGCCCGATGTGGGACTCAATCCCATGACCCTGAGGTCATGACCTGAGCTGACACCAGATTGGACACTTAACCAAGTGTGCCACCCAGGTGTCCTCAATTATTTCTTTTTCTAAAAACGATTATAGCCATCTTTCCTTAAAGCTGTCTGGATAGCTTAGGGCACCACTTGCTAGCTAAAAACAAACAAACAAACAAACAAAAACCCCAAACTTCTTACACCCATAAACAAGCTGCTTTTACTATCCTGGGCAAGAAAATCTCTGACCAGCTCTCACACTTAACTCACACAAGCTAGAATCGCTCTAGCAAACAGCAAATGCAACAAGGCTCTTACCGTGCTTTGCTCATGGAGGCTCTGTTTCTCTCCTTCCCACTCCTCTGACCCCCTTAAAATTTATTGAGTTCATTAATTCATCCAATAAATATGAACTGAACACCTAGTATGTACCAGGTATTATTCTAAGTGTAAAAAACGATCTCTGCCCTCAAGGATCTGGCAGGGAGAAACAGATAACTACAACAATAAATAAATTAGATAGCACATTAGACAGAGATAAGTGCTGTGGGATACAAGTCCCAAAATGGGGCACCACCCCAGACTGTGAGCTGCTTTCCATCAGGGGCTGTAATGTTCTTCTTCATAGCCTTGCACCTCATACATGCTTGGCATATAGTGTAATCTCAGTTGAAAACAAACTACAACAAACCTTTAATAAACAAATGAGTAACCAAGCATTTTAACAATTTTCAAATTCCCTATCTTAAAAGAAGTGAGGAAAATTATTAGCAAGGTTGTGATCTATAATGATAGTGAGAAAAAACCACATAAAAGTTCTTCAAAGAATCTATCATATTTTGTAAACTTCTGTAGTCCCCTGATTATAGAGAAACAAGTAAAATGATGTGTCACTAAGGAGATTATTCATTTTAAACCAGAGATTCTTAACCTGGGGTTCCCAGATTCAGGGATGCATGTGAATCCCCTGAAATTGTCAGCACAATTTGGGAGATAAGGGGAAGTTATATGTGTGTTTTTCTAGGGAGAATGTGACACAGATTGGCAAAAATATTTTCCCTAGGTTACAGAAACAGAGTTTGAGAAATCTAAAGATAGGACTGAAAGCTGCAAAGAATCTAAACAGTTCAATATTATATTGCAGACTGTCATTTGCATCTGGGTAAAATGCTGCTTCCTTAAACCAGTGAGATAACAGAAGACCAGGTAAACTTCAGATTTACGGAAATCCATCAGAAGACAGAAGCTCAGCAGGAACTTCTCAGAACCAAACTCATCATCGCAATAATAATAAAATCATTTAACGGTGGTGGGGAATCTTAGAGGCTAGTTTCACATGGTGATAAAGCCAAAACCAGGAATTCCCCTACGGAAAAAACAAAGAGAGTTTACCTTTTGGTGGTTTTCAATTAAGATTTCCACCACGATGTTCTGAAACTTCAAATCCATGATGGCAGCAACAGTTTCTTCCTGGGGCCTCATCAGAGTTGGTCCAAACACCACTCCCAGATTTGCCACAGTCATGAGGTTCTGCTTAGAGTGATTTGAAACACTGATAAGGAAGGGGGCAGGGGGAGAAAGTCTCCGGTTAAAAGAGAGGCAATAGCTGGGGACGTACAATCTTCTGCAACTCTGTGTTTCCTTAAAAACAAGGAGTCAAGACACTCAATTGTCCTCCATGTCTGCTTCTGAAATAAAAAAATCTGACAAGACCCTAGGGGATTAGGCCCCTGCCTACTTTCCTACTATTCCTCTCTTCTCGATGTTCTGCTCTAACCACAATGGCTTTCTTAATAATTCCATGTTTATGTTAGACTTGTGCCCCCCGAAGACCTTCTCTTACCATTCCCCTCTACTTAGAATATCCCCACTTTCCCCAGACTATTATACCCTTGGCTTCCAGGAATGACCAGATTGTATGGTATCTTTATCAGATTTAGCTTCACAAGCACACAGAACTTGGTCAGAGAACCCACATTCACCCCTTTGGCCCAATACATTGTGCAGTGAGCAACCTAGACAACTGTTCTCAGAAGCCCTGATGCTTAATTCAGGTCTCAATTCAAAGTTCCCATCCTCAAGATACCTTCCATAACAACACTCTTTAAAGTCCCACATTCAATCTATATTCTCTATCCCCTCATTTTTTTTAACCACTTATCACCTGAAATTATTTCGTATTTTTATTTGTAATCTGTTTATGATCTTTTCCCTCTTAGAAAGAAGCGACTTCGTGAAAGTAGGGAATTCATCTATCTTGTTCAACTATGTATCCACAAGCACCTAAAAAAGGCATTCGATAAATATGTGTTGACTAAATGAACAAATAGCTCCACTAGCAGTAGGACACTTGGCAGGTCATAATATCCTCTGGCCTTCAGTTTCTTTTTATACAAAATAAAAACATAATAAAATAAATAAGATAACAAAAGAAAATTAAGAACATTCTAAAACAGCATTCCTCAGCTTCTTCTTACCTCCAAATTTCTATAATTACAGTGAGCTAAGAGTCATTTGTATTTGAAGAAAGGGCTAATTTCTCCACTAAATGATTAGATTTTGCTTGCTTTTTAAAGAGGGAATAAAAAGACTAGAATGGATCCTATGAAATAACTACCTATTACTGGATTAAACTAACTTAAAGACCATGTGGAAACTTAGAGTTAGGTAGGTGTGAAACCAGGTTAAATTCGCTAACAGACTTATAATCACATTTCCAGGACCCGTGTACAGGGAAGTGTATAATATTCTCTTCTCTTACTTCCAATCAAACCCCAAGTTGCTGGCAGTGATGTTAAGCAAATAATTATACAACTTCACGAAAGCATCATATTTCAATGCTCTTGTCCAAAATATGCACAGTGATTCAACTGTCCAGCCTGCCTTTCCAGGCGTGGTCCCTGGTATTGTGTAGACAGCCCCACTTCCAACCATTATGAATCCAAGAACCCCACATAGCACCCAGAGTAAAACAAAGAAAGTTAGGAAGAAAAAGGGGCTTACTTTGTTAAGTGTTTCACCAAAATGTCCAACATTTCTTTATTTTTCTCTGGCAGTTTGTGTACCAAGAAATGGATAGCATTAACACGAGATTCTGGGCTTCCACTTTCTTTAAAAAAAAGAAAAAAGAAAAAAACAGATTACTCAGAATCAAATACAGTCCCAGAAATCAACGATGACAACAACTCACCTGTTCAACATCTTTCAACAGAGAATTTAAACGTATTTTGCCACCTTTCCCAAAAAAGGGGGGGTCTATCTATTTCAGTGTGAATGTAATGAGTGCCTATCCCTAGGGTGATATTTAAGAACAGAGGACGACTACAGCTTCTCCTTCTTGCACTCTACACTTCAAGTCTGCTCGTCCCTTGAAGGAGTCGGTCACTGGGTCACTGCCCCACAATGGAATGCAAATAAAACAGGGGCAAATAGGTTCTTCCCTCTTAGGGTTGAGTTTTATCCCCCCAAAAGATACACTGCAGTTCTAACTCCCTAGTGTCTCAGAACATGACTGTTTTAAAACATGCCTGGGATTTGTTTTAATCAGGTATGATAAGAAATGCTGACATGAAAATGACTGAGTTGAAGGAAGAGTTTTATACTCATACCCCCTAGAAACAGGAGGCATGGTAAGCCAGGGTCAGCCAAGAGGCAGAGGGAAGAAGGGGGAAATGTGGGCAAGAGGCTTTATTGTATTTTCCATGTGAGGAAGAGGCAAGGCAGAGTAAGCAGACTGAGGACTGGTTGGTTTGAATTATTTCAGCAGGCTCTGGAGCACAAGAGCTGTGCCAAGACATATGGTACCTGCCCCGAGGTGCTAAGGGCAGAATACTGACTTGGAGTGTAAGAGCCCAAACGACAGAGTCAAGGAGAGAAAATGGGCTCTGGATTGACTGGCATATGGAAAGCATGCTCAGTTTACTATCTCAAGGAATTGGTTATAGCCCCAGAAAGGGTGTTCTCCCCAGGATCAGTAAAGCCCCAGATGTCAAAACATCAGAATAAGACATGCTTAACATAATGACCTTATTTGGGAATAAGGTCATTGCAGAAGCCATCAGTTAAGATGAGATCATATTGGAGTAGGGTGGTCCTTTAATCTAGTATGTCTGGTGCCCTTATAAGAAAAGAAAAGACACAAAGGGAAAATGGCCATAAGAAGATAGACACAGGGGAGAATATCATGTGACAACACAGGCAGAGACTGGAGTGATGTGTCTACAAACCAAGGAATGCCAAGGATTGCTGGGAACTACCACATGCCGGACGAGGTAAGGAAAGAGCCTTCCCTGGAGCCTTAGAGATTGGCCGTGCCAACCTACACCTTGATTTTGGACTCCCATTCTCTGGAATTGTGAGTGAGTGAGTGAATGAGTGAATGAATTTATTTATTTACTTATTGACTGATTGACTGATTGATTTAAGCTATTCAGCAACCCTAGGGAACTAACACACTCACTTTCCCCCTTAGACTTTGGAATGAATTATCCATGGCTCTTATTAGCAACACGTCCAAATTCCCTTTATTGTGTTCTTGACAGAAAGTATCAAACAAATCAATAAAATGCTTATTATTGAGAACTCCACATGAATTTTCAGGGGTGTCAAAGAAGTGACTGAGGAGAATTCAGCTAGCAGTTAAGGCAGCAGAAAGGATGGTACAGACTGCTTGGAGGCTCACAGAGAGCTGGCAGGAGCAGCTGAGGAAAGGTTTCACATAAGGGAGAGCATTTGAGTTGGGTCTTGAAGAACAGAGAAGAATTTAAAGCAAGGCAGAACTGAGGAGGAAGGGGCACGCTCCAGATTCTGCAAACAGTGTAAGAAAATGCACAGCCTATGCAGAGAGGGCACCTTAAGCTTATGGAAAGGCAGAGGCCAAACTCTGGCTTGTAAAAGCAAATGTGAAGAATCTGTCTTTACTGTTGGCTTCTAAATCAGTCACTGTAAGGAAGGCTGGGAAGAGACAGGCACAGAGTCAAATTTGGGGAGATACATCTGACGTTTTCTGGAGGATGGATTTGAACGGGAAAAAAAGCAAATCAGGAGGGAAAGGCTATTTGGGCAAGAAGTAATGAGTCGGGGGTGGGGGGATGCGGGTGATAGAATTACAAGTAAGGAAGTAGAGCCGGCAGGCAGGCATTAGAATTGCTGCTTCCAACTGACAACAAGAGCAAGATACCTACTAACGGAGGCTTCTGGGCCTCAGTTCCTCATCTGCAAAATGAAGTTAACAGCACCATCTCCTAAGGCCACTCTGAGACTCAGTGAGGTAGCACCTGAGAAGTGTTGAGTGCTGGTGGCGGGCACAGACAGGTGCTCCCTCACTGTTAGCCATCATCTCTGCTGTGGTTTGCATTGCTCTTCCCATGTGAGAGCTCCCACGGAAGACGTAGAATTGACAGGATCTAGCTGCAGACTGGCCGTGGGTCAGAAGGAAGAAGGCAAAGATGACCCATGTTTCATGCCTAGGTTATGCGGTAGTATGGTCAGTCCCCCAATAGACAGGAGCAGAGGAGACAAGGCTGGTTTGAGGGGGACGGTGATGGGGGGAGTGACAGAGGAAGGGATGTTCAAATATCTAGCAGGGAGCTGGGAATGGTAGGAGGCGTTAGAGATGAAGGTAGCAATGTTCTCTGGAGGGAGGGGACGTCCGGCACGTGACCAAGGCTGCCTGACTACTTCAGAAAGCTAACAGAGCATCCTGTGGGGAAAAGAGCTCCATTGGGTGCATGGGAAATGCCAACTGGGGGCTAAAGAAAGCACAGGAGGCGGAAGAGGAAGGAGGACAGGAGGTTCAATATCATCAGAAAGTCAAGTGAGAAGAAACATGCAAGGCCTGGGTAGCCAGTGGTATCAAGAGTTAACGAGGGACTGAGGAAAAGCAAGACTGGGAGGAGGGCCTAGGCACCCACCACTAAGTTTGCCAGCCAGGAGTCCCTCTTTAGTTACACAAGGAGGTTAAAGAGTGAGTGGCTAGAAGGGACAGAGAGAGTGGGATTTCAGATCACTGGTTTAAATATCAAGAAATGGAAGGGAAGAGAGATAAAGCAAATCAAGAATAATTGACATATAACATTATATTAGTTTCAAGTATACAACATGATTCAATTATTTGTATATATTGCTAGATGACCACCACAATACATCTAGTTAACATCTAATATCACACAGTTATAAATTGTTTTCTTGTGATAAGAACTTTCAAGACTGGGGTGCCTGGGTGGCTCAGTCAGTTAAGCGTCTGCCTTCGGCTCAGGTCATAATTCTGGTATCCCCGGATGAAGCCCCACATCAGGCTCCTTGTTCAGCAGGGGGTCTGCTTCTGCCTCTCCCTCTATCCCTCTCCCTGCTTGTGCTCTCTCTCGCGCGCGCATTCTATCTCAAATAAATAAATAAAATCTTAAAAAAAAAAAAAGAACTTTTAAGATTTATTACTCTCTTACAACTTTCAAATACACAATACAGTATTATTAACTATAGTCACCACGCTGTACATTCCATCCTCATGACTTCCTCATTTTATAACTGGAAGTTTGTACCTTCCAACTCCTTTCACGCATCTTGCCCACTCCCCAACCCCCAGCAACCGCTAATCTGTTCTCTGTATCTATCAGCTTGCTTGTTGTTGTTTATCTTTTCTAAGGTTCCACATATAAGTGAAATAATATGGTTTTTGTCTTTGTCTGATTTAGGAATCTGTTTCTTCAACATGATGATGGTTTTACTTTTTCCTTGTTGTAAAAACTAAATATCTACTGTTAAAATTTTAGAAAACACAGATGAAACAACTCAGTAAAAGCAATCACTAATAATTTGAAATACATATCGTTGAAAAAGAACATGCCATCAGACTATGAAGAACTACAGATCAAGCCGAAAAGAGACAAGCCAAAAGAAAAACAGGTAAAAGACTGGAGCAGGAACTCCAGGAAAGAGACCAGCCATATGACCAATAAACATAGGAAAAAGTGCTAAACCTCGTTATTTATCAGGGAAATAAAATTAAAACCACAATGAGCTACTACTACTCATCCATCAGAATGCCTTTAAATGAATACAGCATTAAGTTCTGGCTAGGATAAGAAGTAACTAGAACTGTCCGACTCTATGTGGGAATAATTAAATGGCACAATCACTTTGGTGAACTCTTTGGCAGTACCTATTGAAGTTGAACGCACACATTCCAACCCATAACCCAAAAATTCTACTCCAAACCAAGAGAAATGCACATAAACATTCACTAAAAGACACATATTAGAATGTTCACAGCAGTAGCACTCTTGATAATCCCAAAAGTGAAACCACCCAAGTCTCCATCAACAGAACAGATAAATGCATTGTGGTGTGTTCGTACAATGGAATCCTATACCACAAGGACAGAGAATGAACTGCTGATTCACTCAGCACGGAGGAATGTCACCAAGATGAGCAAAAGAAGCTGAATGCAAAAGAGGATATTCTAGATGATTCCATTTAGATACAATGCGAATGCAGCAGCAACCCTAACCTCTGGACCTATGGTGTCAGAAGTCAGGGGAGTGCTCGTATGTCATAGGGACCGTGTGGGTGTGAGAAAGGGTTTATGGGACTCTGACAATGTCTTATTTCTTGATCCAGGGCTGATTACACAGCTATGTTAATATGTGAAAATTCATTAAGCTGTATACTTATTATTCGTATACATTTCTATTATGTTTCAACAAAAAGTTCACTTACATTAAGCTACCCATAATAAAGGCTGGTAAATTTTAGGCTTAATCCTTTCAGAACTTTGCTTCCTTTTTCATAATGAAATGCATGAATAGCCTATTGCATTTAATATACCATGGACATCTCTCCATGTCATTAAAAAGCACCACACCATCAACTCTCTGAACATTCAAGTTGCTTCCAGTGATTGTACAGGTAAGTCTGTTCCAGTTTACACTTCCAATAGTAATGTTTTAGAGTGAGGAATGAGGTTTCACAACACAGGACACAGTTGTTGCTAAAGACAAAGGAAGCAAAAAGGCTAAGAAATGAAAAGGCATCTGATAAGGCGAATACAAATAATCAAATCATATTACATACTAAAAACTCTTAGATACAGGGACACCTGGGTGGCTCAGT